TCCCTACCTTTTGCTTTACTGCAGAAAATCTCATCTGAGCAACTGGCCACTAATCTCTGGAAAGGCCTGAGGGGTCCCAGGCAGTTCCCTATTAAGTCTTTTTCTTCCTGGACAGAACTGAAAAGAAGCCATTTACAGCCTTTTTGCTTGTTCTTCTGCATGGCTGGTGGACTCATCCATAGCAGAGTATTTTCTATCTCTTTGACTTTCTCTTTTAATTTTGGCTTTTGGCTCTTTGAAGCTTCAAAGTGAAGTTTTTAGGTGATATCAAATAACTACCTTGCAAATATTCCAGACATGATTTGAGGCCTTTGTTCCCTGTAAAGGTCACATTGTATTAAAGGGTTACTTATTAAAACAACTAACCTACTAAAGTCCGAAATAAGTCATAGACCCATTACAAACCAACGTTCTAAAGCATAGTTTAAACTTGAATGGGTCTCTGTACTCTATCTGAGACCGAGAATTGGTCAGAAGTTGGGGAGCGGCTGCTTCTTGATGGCAGTCCAAGAGAACTCTGAAGAGAGAGATTTTCTGTGGCGAAGATGTTTGTTATACAAAGTCATTCATTAAAAAAAAATGTAATTACTTAATTAAACTAGTTTTATCACCATGTTCCATAATGAGCATTTAGAAATAGTGGTTTCCCTGAGTTATAGTGACATCTACCATAAAGAGAAAAATTTTTCAGAGAATCATCTCAGAAAGCCTTGACCAGTACATATTAGTTTTCTCCTGTAGCATTTAGGATAGGTATACTTTTACATTTGTTTGTGAGACTATTTAAGGAATATCTGTGTTCTGAGACAACATGTCTATGCCCATGAGGGCAGGAACTTCTGTTTTGTTCCTGCCGTAGGCACAGAATCTCACATCCAGTAGGCCTTCAAATGTTTTAGAGAATGAATGAGTCAATGAATGATGCCAGATGTTGGCTACAGAATCTCTCAGTCTTTAATTTCTAGGAGATCGGAGGTATGAGCTGGTGGCCTTTCACCGTCTGGCTACAGTTTACTACTCTCTGCGCATGTATGAGATGGCTGAGGACTGCTATCTGAAGACGCTGTCCCTCTGCCCGCCATGGCTGCAGAGTCCCAAGGAGGCCTTGTACTATGCCAAAGTATATTACCGCCTGGGCCAACTCACCTTTTGCCAGCTGAAGGTAAGAGCCAAATTTTCAAGCTTATATGACAGCTACCATCAAGTCATACTCTTTCTTGACCCATACAAAGCTGGTAAGGAGCTTTGGGGTAGAGGTGAGAGGACCAGAGGGCCAAGCTAGGGAGTCCAGTCTTATAGGGTGGGGAGCAGCTCCACATGACACATAGTGGTTCTTTCCATGTAGCCCTACCAGAGACCTCAAGGGGGCTCACATCTTTGCTAAGAAGATACATCATAGCTCCTTGTCCTCCTTGTCCTGTTCTAATTCCTATGGTTCCTTTATCTATCAGGTACCACGGTCATGTTACCTAGAGTCTGAGGGTCCTTCAAGAGCTTATGAAAATATGTGAGACCCCAAAACAAAAGAACTATTAAGCTCCACAGTGAAAAATCAAAATTTGTGCTTAATTGAATGTACACAGAATGTTGTAGGTCAACTGTCAACTGTGACTCATTTCTTATAGTTATATAAACTGGCATTTTATGAGAAATGTGGGTGCGTATCAACATATTTGAGGTAATAAGGTGTAGAACCTTGGAATGTAAGTATAACTAGGTCCTAAGAAGGTTTTAATCCTGATTCTCCTGCTTGCTGGGCAGGAATTGAGTTCAGCACTTATTTTTCTAGTCACTTCTAGAGTCATGTTAGTGGTCTACAATTTTCTGTAACAACTCTGGCCTTCGAACTCTGTCCTTTGGTTGGCCTTCTTCTTATTAGAGATCCTAGTCTTCTCCAGCATGACTCTTAATCTCTTCACACAGTGGCTTCTGAATCACACTTGTGTTTATCCCCCAGAGGACCTTCAAGACACTTGTGCTGTTCTTTCTTACTTGTCAGACTATTTCTCGCCTGAGTTATTGACTTATGAGGGTGAATGGAAACAAGACTATTTTTTTTAGTCTTATCCAAAGGAGCATCTGTTTCTCATCCCTACTAGAGAGGGAGGGATGGGTTATGTATGAAGGACTCCCCTGCCTTTGTCCCATAGCTCTCAGGAAGTGGTTCAGAGATGAAGTGTATGTAATTTCTAGGGATTGATTACAAAGGGAGGCACTCAGCTTGAGCTACCTTAAGTTACAAAGACAATTTATTAGCTCAAATGACTGGAAAGTTGAGGTACAGATTTAGTTTCAGGTAGTTCTGGATCCTGGTACTCAGATGTCATCATGGATTTCCCCTGCTCTCTGTATATCTTGACTCTGTTATCTTTCTACTTCTCTTTGTTTCTTGACTTCCTCTCTCTCCCTTCATTGGCAGGCTCAAACCCACATTGAAAAAGATGAGGAACCATTTCTCTTAGTGGGTAACACTTAAAAGTCCCAGGGAGTGGTTGATAGGTCAGGTTTCGGTCAGAGACATGTCCCTGAAATACTGTGCCTAGGGCAATGCTGATTCATAATGGTCTGAGCCTGAGTAAAGTGTCACCTGTGTGCCTGAGGAAGAGGGCCCTGTGGTTAGCCATGTGACAAGACTATGGTGGAGGGTAGAAGCTCTCCTGAGGAACTAAGGATGGGGATGGGCTGTTGAGCAGAAATAAACCAGGTTCCCAGCATGGTCTCCCAGCCCACCCTGGAAGTGTTTACTAATGCTATCTCTTTTTTGCCCCCCCTACTTTGGGTTTAGGATGCCCATGATGCCACTGAGTACTTCCTGCTGGCCCTGGCAGCAGCCGTCCTGCTGGGTGACGAGGAGCTGCAGGACACCATCAGGAGCAGGTTGGATAACATCTGCCAGAGCCCCCTGTGGCACAGCAGCTCCTCTGGGTGCTCTTCAGAGAGGGCACGGTGGCTCAGTGGTGGGGGTCTAGCTCTGTGAGAAGAGCTGTCTCACCTCTGACCAGTTACTATAGCCAGATGGTGCCTACCTGCCCTTGGTTCTTAGATGTTAATTCTGAGGGTCTGAGTCATCACCTGGTTCAACCTCCTCAGTTTACAATAAGAAGAGTGAAGTCCTGAGGAAGAAGGCTCATTCCACGAGCAGCTGCTGATGAAGCGACGATTAGAAGCGCTGGCGAGGGGCTTCGCATCTAGAGCCTCTTTTACTTGACTGTGGCCCTTCAACACATATGGTGTCTGAAATGCCCTTTCCTAACACATGACTCTGGGGAAAAATAAGAGAAACTCTGTCCCTGAAAATCTCCCTTCCTTCCCCCGGTGAGGAAATCAGGCACCATGCTGGTGATTGGAGCTTGTGCCCTTCACCGATTTTCTCAGGAAAGAACCCTTTCCTTGCTGGGGTGGAAGGAACCCCTAACTTCTTTCTTTTATTTCTTTAAAACCAAAGAAGATGTCACTCCTCATGGTCTTGAGGACTGACAGAAATGAATTCCCCATTTTCTTGGTTCAAAAGGCACAGGTTCTGAATGGCCAGGTGGAATGCAGAGGGCACGAAATCTGACGCCGATTCACTATCGCTCTCTACCATCTGACCATGCTCTCACATAATCTCCCAGAAACTTCTGGGAAGCTTTCCAAAGGCCAGGTTTGAAAATTAGGTGTTAAGAAAATTATGACACAAATTATGTGTAAACAGTGCATATTATTAAATATGGCCCATTTATATTTACATACACAGTTTGCTTCCTTTATAATAGGGATAGATGAAATGGGACACTTGAAGGATGAATTAAATACCAAGGCATTTTACTAATTTTAAGGTAGCTCCTGTTTTTTGTTTGTTTTTGATTTTAGTTTTGCTTTATTTCTCTCTTCTGAGAGAGAGAGAGAATGAGGGGCATCCCCAACAGGGTCTTCATGCCACAATCCACCCCAGCTTCAGTCATCATGGAGACATGTGTGCTCACTGTGTTCAGAGGTCTGTGGAAGGGAATCTAGAACCTTCCAATGTGGATCAGCCTCCCCAGGAGACCTCCTTTACAAAGTACCTCTACTAGTTATCTATTCCTCTGCGTAATATACTGAGTATTTTGAAACATTTATTATCTCATGATTTATGTAGGGGCTGACTTAGCTGGGTCCTCAGGCTCAGGGTGGTTCATAAGGCTGTAATCAAGTGGCAGTCTGGGCTGTAATCATTTCAAGTTCAATCAAAGAAGAGTGTTTCCTTTCTTTTCTTTCTTTCTTTCTTTCTTTTTTTTTTTTTAGGTTTTGCCTTAGGGTGCATGCACTTGCTGGAGAAAGAGAGAAAGACAGTGAGAGGTAAAGTGAGAAATCACCCCCCCAGAAGGGATGGCCACACTGCAATCCCAACGTCTTCATTCTCCTCCCAGGATCTTGTGCATGCACGCCTATGTCTTGTGTGATTTTCAAACCATTTAGTCTGGGACTTGAACTATGGTTTGCCATGTGAGAATCCAGTGACACAACCACTACATCATCTGCTGGTCCCAAGAAGAGTGCTTCCAAGCTCATAGTTGTTTGCAGGAGCCAGTTCCTCACTGACTGTTGGCTAGAGGCTACCATTAGTGGCTGGCCACTTGGGCTTCTCCATGGGGTAGTTTAAAACATGGCAATTGGCTTCATCAGAGTGAGTGGGCAAGAGGAGCAAAAGCCAGAGTGAGAGAAGACTAAGTCATTGTCTTTTCATCACCTAATCACAGAAGTGACATTTCCTTAGTTTTGCCTGTTGTATTCATTGTATGATACTAGGTTTGGCCTCTACAAAGGGGGGCATGAACCAAGGAGTTGAGCAAGGGCATGAATACCAGATGCCGGGAATTACTGGGGCTCATTTCAATAGCTAACTACTGCAGTGTCTGAGTTCTTCGATAATTGAATCAGGAATTGTCTACGGTAATGAACTCAAAGTATGGTCCACTGACAAGCAGCATCAGCATTACCTGTGAGATTATTTGAAATGCAAATTCTGGGGCCACACCTAAAACCTTTGAATCAGAATCTTTGGAGCCCAGAGCCCTACCTTTAATAAGTTCTGCTGGTGATTTGAACGGGTAGGCAGCTCCAGGACAAGGGTTCTTAGTCTGCATGAGAATCACCCAGGAACTTGTTGAACATAAACTTGATGGTTACTACTCTTAGATCCTGATTCAGAAGGTCTGGGTTATGATCCAGGAATAAGTAATTTTTACAAGCAACTCAAGGGATCCTGATGCTGGTGGTTCAACTTCACTTTGAAGTGGATGAACATATAAGGAAAGCTCCCGATAAATCTTTCCACCTGATGCCCATCAGCTCAGCTTTGCTGCCAGGCCCTCTGCCCTTAATACCTAGCGTGTTGGGCTGACCAGATGGTTGCCTGTGTGGTAAGGTGGGATGAGATTGGTGATTTGAGTTCCCATTGTATCTTTGGGTCACCAAGGTTGCCAACATCATCAGTACATCTTTTCTCTGAGAGGCCTGGTTGGTTGTCAAAACACTCTACTCAAAATGAGTATTCTTCTCCAGGAAGGAAATGAAATGATCTAATCCGCTACCATGTGAAATTGTTGTGGGTTTGCTCCTATGGCAAGCCACAAAATCCTGAGCAGGGAGGGGTGGCGTGGTTGAAGCTATCCAGTCTAATCTCCCCTACAGAGTCCTTTCAACAACATTCCTAGGAGATGGTCAGGATCACATGCATTCCAGAACAATGACACATCTTATATTTGCAGAAGGCTTGCTGGCCTGGAACCTAGGCCACGAGCCATTCTTCATCTGACTCAGTTATAGACCCCCTCCCTTTTCCCACCAACTGATCTCTTTTGTCTGGCCAGATTTGTTTCTGTTCCCTTGAAAGTGTGGTTCCCATAACAACACCAGGTTTTTGATATTAGCTGGTAAGTGAAGAATCCAGAGGGATGTTCTGTATTTAATGTAATTTATAGTTGTATTTAAACGTTGTATTAAGGTTTTTCTTTACATCAGCAGCGTCATCTTACCTTGGCTCACATTAAGCTTTATAATCAATTGAAACCTCTACATCTTCTCCCATGAACTTCTGTGTGACCAGCTCTTTCTCAGTTGCTATAGATATATCAAATATCATTTTCACCACATGTATGAGGTCATTGGAACAGTCATGATGTGTTTTTCTATTTTTTTCTTTATTTTAATTATTTTATTTTTTATATTTATTTACTGTATGTCATTACAGCACACAAAATGAATTTTTCCATCTGGAATACACTGTATATTGGCTCAAAGATATCTTTCTATGTTTTTATATGCAAATATGCATCATGACTTTCCCGATGATCTATTTATCCATCTATCTATACACACACACATATGCATGTGTATGCTTATACACACAAATACATATGTGAGGATCACTTTATCAATCTATTTTACATTCCATTGGGAATTTTGGTTAAAATGTTCAGATCCTGTGCATTTTGATTCACCCATGATTTGGGTACATTTGCCTCTAACCAGGTCAGTTATTAAGATGTTCCACATGTTTCCAAAGACAAGAGTAAGACTGTTTCTTTAATGAGAAAAACACCGTGCTGTATAATTGCAATTACTATATCCTATATGTACATTGCTTTCTAAAATAGTCCTTAAAAGTGTTGGAAAATCTCATTTTTGGAAGGCTTATTTCTTTATTTTCTTTCCTTGAGTGAGAGACAGAGAAAGGAGAGAGGGCTGGAGAAACAGCACTCATAACAGGGTCATGATGCCGGTAATTCACCTCCAGCCTCTACCAGCCCCAGACCGGGGTCACACTTGGGCCTACTGCCCTTGGGAAGGTCTTCAGATGCAAACTCAAAACATTCTTATGTGGGCCAGCCTCACAGAATCTCCCATTGTGCCATGGTCTGGTCCCTGAAAATCTCATTTTTAGAAACATGGGCTAATCATTCCCCTTGGAATTGTGTTGGTGCTTTTTTTTTTTTTTTTTCTTTTTCTTTTCAAATGCTCAACAGAGAATGAAGTGGTTGAATCTGGTTTCTATCTAAGCAAGTTTTATTATATCCAAAGATGAGTGAACTACCCTCTTTATCCTAACCCTCCTCCCAAACTGTGTGGGCTGCTTGGCTCCTGGCTGCTCATACCTAATGTGAATAAGGAACAAGGAAGGGATTGCAACCTGGTGGAAACCTGGTAACACCTTTTATCAGCTCTCAGGTAGACCACTTCCCTGTAGTGTTAGCACTACGAAATCTAATATTGCTTTTATCCTTTCCTTGTTCGCTTTTTTCATTATTTTAAGAAGGCTTTGTATTGAGTATGTTTGCTTGTGCTTTGCAAAAAGGACTCATTTGACAGAAGTTTACTTGGAGAAGGGAATATGCAGAAGATGGTGTCAGAATTGGGGTGGAGAGGGTAGGCCAAGGAATTGGAAATCTGGATTTTGGTCTTGATTTTGACATTGAATTGCTGCATGACCTTGGGCCAGTCACTTAAGTTCCATATACCTCAGATCTCTGACCTTTAAAATAAGGTCACTTTTGGGCTCCTTTTCAACAATGTTATTTCTATACTGCATGAGCAGGATGAGAGGTGGTATCTGGGAGATAAAATTATATATTTTATGGACCATTTTTATTTTCTTCTTTTTATAGAGGAGTCAACTGAGAAACAGAAAAGTAATTTTCTTCTAGCCACATAGGTAGTTAGTGGTAAAGATGGCACTACTTCAGGTCTCGTGACTCAAGGACTTAATTGTACAAATGACAGGATTGTTGCTGTTCAGGGCTACTGTTACTATTGTTGTATACAGGTATGCTTGTGCCATCATGACCGTGTGCACCACCTGATACTTTCTATAAACTGCTTTACTTACTTCCTTTACTCATGTATTCATTTTATAAAGGAGGATTAAAATAGAAAAAATATTGCTTTTTACAAATATAATTTTATGAAAAATAACAATACCATGAAAACAAAGCAATGCACTAAATTTAAGCTGGATTCTGTTGCTTACTGTAAATGCCTGGGTTAGGCCTGATATGGCTTTATTAGAAAATAGATGACCAAGTGGCAGGGATGCAAGAAAGACTAGCCCCAACTGCTTTCTCCTA